GAATTCTTCTGTTCTTATTGCATCATTTCTACTTCCTGTCTGGTTTTCCTGCCTAAACTTCCTGCTTGGCCAATCAGCGTTTATTTAAAACATGATTGACAGAATACAGACAATTCTCCCGCACCACTTCGGCAACTACATGGCATCTCCCTGACTCTGCCTACTCTCTATAGCTCTGTTTGGATTTTCTGCCTAGCTTTATTCTGCTAAGCCAAAACAGCTTTATTCATTAACCAGTAAAACCAACACATATACAGAAGGACTTCCCACATCACTGTCAGAATTTTTAAGTTGTGTAAGTAAGCAAAAATGTGATAACTGCCATCTTTCTGAGTCTGGATAATTGTTTAACATGATGATTTTTGCTTCCACATTTTCCTAGAAATGAAATGATTTTATTCTTCTTTGTAGCTGAATAATACTCCATCTTGCCTATATACAACATTTTCTTTATCCATTTCTTTGCTGATGGACACCTAGGATGATTTCATACCTAGGCTATTGTGACTAGTGCCATGGTAATACTGAATGTGCAGGGATCTCTATAGTAAAACAACTTTGATTATTTTGGCTATATATCATTGGGGAGGTAGACTGAGTGGTATAGCTGGATTATAAGATAGTCCTACTCTTAGTATTTTAAAGAAACTTGGTACTAGCTGTACTAATTTTCAACCCACTGAAATGTATGAGAATTCCATTGGAAATGACATTCTCAAAAACTATCTATATTCCTATATTGAAACTAGGAGTCCCTCATGAAAATGGTCCAAAGGAATCCTTAACAATCTTCATAGCAAAGAATGTATTCTACTAAAGGTTATGGAGTGTTGCTGGTCTGTGCAAATGATATGTAAACAATGACTTAAATTGGCCTGATATGAAACAATAGAACAGAAAGGAGGATGGTATTGAACACTCAACTCTGGGAAAAGCTTTATAGCATTTCTCATCTACCCTTTAAGTCTATAGATCCTTCCCTGTGTTTATGAACCAACCCATCTGTGAGTTATAACTCAGTAGTGAAAAGTCAGAATTGGTTTTAATTATACATTCACTGTATTTGTATTTATTGCATCCTAAGTAGCTTTATTTCTTCCTTTAATCCCAAGGCAAGGGGGAAAAAGCAACTCTTTAAATAATTGATAGCAATAAGTAAAAAGTAATACTTGGGTGGCTGTCACATGGTACTTCACCCCCCCCCCCAGTTATAACAAGATGCAGTCTTGGACTTCGCCCCATAGCCATGACCATTGGAGCAGAAAAATACAGTGGTAGCCAAATCTATGATAATGGTAATAGTAATCAAGAGATCATTGCCTGGTATTTCAACTATCACTCCCTGCCCTTGGCTGCAAGTGATCTTAGAAGATGCTAGAGTATATATACAATTAAAGTTGATAAAGAGCAGGACTCCATGATGCAGTTTCATGATATGGTGGAACTTTATGGTGATGCTGAGTTTGGTTATCACCATGTTTCTATAAATAATCCCTCAGCAGTGCTCTGTAAACCTAAAAAACTCATTGGTCTCATCAAGTTGAATTTTGGTCATACCATAATTTGGTCTCTTGTTGATGCCCATCTGATTGGACATTCATTAACGTCTTCTTGGGAAAAGTGAGCACATCACTGCTGTGGTTCCTAAAAGCTACAGGAATATGGCAAAATAAGGCCTAGTGAAGACAATGAGATCTCTAGACTAGATGGAGATCTAACATTTCAGATGGACAAGGTCATTGGTATGGTTAAGGGACTACCCTCAGGAAGTTGGGACTACCCTAAACTACACTAAACAGATAGGAGAATTAAACAGCCCTTTAATGAGATAACGTATTTTTCCTTCCCAAAATGTCCACCCCCTAGAGCAGTCTCAACCAGCAGAGCTGCAATGTCGTTTGGATGGATCTGATCACCTTTCTAACTCCAAAAGGTATGACTATCCTTTTCTTTTCTTTTCTTTTCTTTTCTTTTGGATGCTATCAGAACCTAAGTACGCTTTTTCTGCAGTTCTGAGCTGCCTTGTTGTTTCTCCAATCACCTCTGCCATGTTTTCTTTTGCTTTTTGGTTTTTTCAGACAGGATTTCTCTCTGTAGCTGTGGTTGTCCTGGAATTCACTCCATAGGCCAGGCTGTCTTAGAACTCAGAGATCTGCCTGCCTCTGCTTCCCAAGTGCTGGGATTAAAAGCATGTACCAACATACCCAGCTTGTTTGAAATTTTCAAAGAGTTAGTAAAAATACTATTTTTTAAAAGAGTAATGTTGTAAGTTCTTATATCTTTTCTGCCCTTTGTAAACATGTACTTCTTAAGGTCTGTGCTTTTAAAACTGTCCATCAGAATGTCTTAATAAGCTTCCAGAAATATCTGGGAAATTTTTAACTGAAAAAAAAAAGGTGTGATATGATGTTTAACATCTTAAGCACCACTTAATTAGCTTTACATAATTCATAGCTCTAACTTTGGCCTGTGTTCTATCTCTTGATGAGGTCATATCTTTGGGTCACTGGCATTCACTGTATTCCTACTGTCTCGATAATTTTCCATGGAGCTCTATGCCAAAAGAAATATTTAACAATTCTATTTGCTAAGTAGCTAAGTCTAGGCAACTTAATAAATAAATGTGTATCCTAGCAACATAATAGTTATTTTGAAAAAGTAATATGCATAGATTAAAAGAAAAACAATGGGAAATAACATTTTTATTTTATTCTTAGACAGTCATAATTACTTGCTAATTGCTGTATGCCTCTCTCAGGTACTGCACCACAACTCAAACTAGAAAATTGGACTGAATGTTACCACCAGAATTCATTTCATATTGATTTCTGTTTTGTTTTTTGTTTTTGCTCTTTGTCTTAGCTTGTCCCAGAAACTCCATCTCTAAGAAGCAAACAAAAGCATCCAAAGATGAAGGAAAGCCAAGAACTACCTTGGCAAAAGGAGAAAGAGGTCTTGAGAAGTGGTCAGCTTTGGGTAAAGTTAGATCAAATTATTTGTACAGTGTTTTTGACCACATAGAAAGTCTACTACAAGCAAATTCAATGCAGGGCTGTATTTAAGAGATTAATATCTCAAGGGAAAGACCTAGACACTAATCACTAGAAATATTCAACAAAGATATTTTAAACATTGGGTGAAGACTGTGCAGGCATTAAGAAGACCTGGGACTCAGTGTCAGTTTTTTGATGACTAGGAGAGCCAGATATGAGAGGGATGCACATTCCAGGAAGGGGAAGAATCATGTGCAAAGGAGAAGGGGCAGGAAACAGCAGGTGGTATGTGAACGGTTAGAAAGCAGGAGCCAGCTGGAGCAGAGCATTTGGACAAAAGAAGAGACAAGGTTGGAATGTTGCTATTTAGGAATAAACTCTGGGTGAGGAAGCAGATATGAGACAAGACAACTTCAAGGCCAGTGAGATGGCTCAGTGGGTAAAGAGCTTACTGTAGAGGTCTGACAGCAGGAGTTTTATCCCTAGAACTCATGGAGAGCAGTGACTCCACAAAGGTGTCCTCTGACCCCCTACATGTATGTCATGGCACTTGTATACCTCCTGTACTAACATCATACACATACAATGAACACTAAGCTTTTTTAAGAACTTCATAAGTTTGCTCTGCCTGATGTATATAGTTGTGAAACAAGAAGCTTTGGCATGACCTTGCCTTTTCTCTGGTTGGTTTTAAAGTCACATGGTTTATCCAGTTCTTTCCTGGGCACAGAACAGTACTGGCAACCTCAGTTACTCCTCCTCCCTCCTAAATCCTCTCTCTGCCAGAGAATGAGTTCATCGATAAAACTATTATTCAAAGAAGAGAAAGCAACCCACTCAGAGACCCACAACAAGTTTTCTAGATCCCTTTCATGATCCTGAACTTCTGACCACATGTTAAGCCACACATTTAACCTGAGAAAGTCAGTGTCTTCCTACATCCTATAGGTGATTTCAGTAGCTAGGAATGCTGGGCTCCTCCTACATAATAGATAAGATCAAAGGTCTCAACTACTGGTCCGAGAATTTCTGCCTTTCTTCTGCTCTCAGTGCTGCACTCAGCAGAACCGAGAAGAGCATGAGGTTGCTGAGGAGGAAGGGTGACTTTGTGACTTTGTCTACCCTTCATTGAAGAGGAGCATAGTACAAATCCATTCACACAGCTGGAACAAAACACCACAGGCACATTAGCTCTTAAACAGCACACATTTGTGTCTCAGTCTGGAGACCAGAAAGTACAAAGTCAAGACACAAGCAGATTTCATACCTACAGAGAGACATTTGTCTCATAGATGGTGCCTATGCATTCCACTATAACATAGTAAAGGAGACAAAGGAGCTTTCTGAAGTATATTTAAGGAGGACAGTGTACTAGTCAGGAGTGTCTAGGGGAATACAACCGATAGAATGAGCATATATAAACATAATAAACATGTACATAAAATATATTCAGTTAAAGGATATATTAAACAAGCTAACACAATACAGTTGGAATAGTCCAACAACAGCTATCCCACACATGAAAAGCTGAGAAACTAGTTGCTGCTACATCTTAAAGGCTAAGTGCCTCAGAACTCCCCAAATGGAGCCAAAAACTTGGAGAGTTCCTGGAGAATTTCTGCTCCTTAGTCAATAAAATGCTGGTTCAGATATCAACCCAGAAAAAAGAAATTACCTCTATCCTAATTTTAGATATCCAGCACCCAGAATATTTTATTGTTTCTAAGCACCCACTTAATATTAACTTGCAGCAACCCAAGAAGACTAAGGCAGATATCAAAGTATGTAAACAGCTCAGATTAATTTATGCACCTTAATTTATGATAATGTGTTTTGAGACACAATTAAAGTGTCCAAAACAATAGTGTCTCAGTTCAGGTCTCATTTGGATGGTGCAGAACACAGAGCACCTCAGTATGAAATAACCCCTCTTAGTTGAAGCAGGATAAGAAGACCAGAGTACATGACACTGGTCTTCTAGGTTTTAACTTTCTTTGTCTTTTGATGTGGGAGTGTCATATATCAATCTGTTGATTTCATTGGTTAAGTTATAATAAACCAACTGCTTGGCCTCAGCTTGGAACATAGATGGGAGGAGTAAACAGAATAGAATTCTGGGCGGAAGAGGAAGTGAGGTCAGACTCTGCTCTGCTTCCGGGGACAGACCCGACAGCTCTGCTGGAGCAGAGACGCCATGCTCAGCTCTCCCAGGCAACTCCAACCCACGATGGACTTAGGCTAGAATCTTCCCGGTAAGCGCACCTTGGCGTGCTTACAAACATTATTAGAAATGGGCTAGTCCAGGGGCGAGAATTAGCCTGTAAGGGTTAGAGTTCATGGGCCAAGCAGTTCTTTAAATGAATACAGTTTGTGTGTTGTTATTTCGGGCGTGAGCTAGCCAAGCGGCTGGGGTGTTGGGGACGCAGCCCCGCCGCCGCTCCTATTTCAACAGATGGCGCCCAGACGTGTGGCTAACTGAATCCACAAAAAGCCTGAGAAAGCTGGGGAAAGAATGGAATGAAGCATGTTTTCTTGGTAGCAACAAATTTCTTGGGTCTACTCTGCTTGCTAGAGGCAAGCAAGCGCTCTCATCTAAGAGAGGCTTCCTGACTCAGCTTCAGCTGCAAAACCCTGCAGCTCATTAAGAGTTCCTGCCAGGAAACACTTAAACGGTGTTGGTGAAAAGCTGAACGCATGCTTTTTGGTTTTCAGCCGTAGCAGGAAAAAAGTTGTGCTGTTTTAAAATACCGGCTTTCTGGGCCGTCCTGCCAGGGCAAACTCTGACTGAGGCAGGAGGTCCAGCTACAGAGAGAGGACTTGACTGTTGTCTGTTGTAGCTCGCTTGCTGGCAGGGACCTTGAAACGCCATAGAATTGTGCCTATAAACGCGGCTACAGCCTGTATCTCCGCCATGAGGCTGGAAAGCTAAGGAATGGACTGGATCTAGCTGGCAAAGCCACGGCTTTAATCCTACTCATATTGCTCAGTAATTTAAAGGCTCCTGTGGTCAGAAAAACAGAGAGAGATACAGTAAAGAGATTCAAAGATAAAGAAAATGTTTAAATGATTTACAGTGTGTTAAAAATATATGCAAGCTAAAAGTTAAAAGTTCTTAAAAAAAAGTAAGAAAAAGAGAAGTTGTGTGTGGTAGTACACGCCTTTAATCCCAGTGCCTAGAAGGCAGAGACAAACAGATCTCTGTGAGTTCAAGGTGTGGTAGCAAACACCTTTAATCCCAATGCCTGGGAGGCAGAGACAGGCAGATCTCTGAGAGTTCAAGGACAGCCTGGTCTACAGAGTTATTCCAGGACAGAGATACAGAGAATATAAAATGAAAGTAAAAATAAACTTAATAGAGGTTAAAATAAAGCTCACAAAGATGGAAAATACACAGAGAATCTTGATACTGTATGCTATTATGCTCTCTTTGAATTGTTTGAATGCTGAGGAAGGAGCAACAGATGCTAAAAGATATTTGTTTATAAATGCTGCTGAACTAATCCAACGTAGAGATTTTAATGCCTTGGCTTTGATATTTGGATCTAAGGACGTGATGCTTTCAAAAGGAGTTTCTTATTTTGTTTTCACAGAGGATGAGACCCTGTTCATTTCTTCTATTCCGATATGGTATGATGGACCACGCCCTCCTGAACGGTTGCTGTGAATACCTTCAAAAAATTGCTTCGCTCAACTTCCAACTGAGATGAAACTAGCACACAGGTTATACCACAAAAGACCTAATTAACAGCGCCCCCATTCAGCAGGAAGCAGTTTGGAGAGAAAAAACTACGCCCATGTTCCCAAATATTGTTTACAAATGTTCTTTTACATTTAAAGGGGGATATGATATAGATATGAATAATTTGCATTGGTATGGATTTTAAGGTCAATTTTGTTATATGCATTTTTGATCTTGATTAAGGTATTGTGTTGTGTAGTTCATTTTAAAATGTAATGTATAATTAGGAAATATAAGTTGTTAATGAATAATCATTAATAATAGTTAAGTTTGTAGTCATGTTAGTTAAGATTTTCTAGATGTGCATACATATATTTTAGATAGGCATTCTTCATATTTTTCAAAGATTATAGAATATGGCATTTTAAATGTTTTAATAACTTAGGACTTCTCATGACAATGAGACACTCTGCTCCTGGCATCACCAATCTACTTCAAGAGGAAGATGGGCATCGAAGAGGATCCTTATGGAGTTTGATAGCCATTTGGCAAGAAACTGCTCTTGCCTGGACTATTGCATAAACTGGACACAGAGAACCCGCAGAGAGAGGACTGCTGAACTTGCCTAAAGGTGAGATGATCTTTCGGGGTTCCTGCTTCATGAAAGAGTCTGCAAGACATTCTTCAGGACAAGCAGATAGTGACTGCCTTTGAAATTTCCTGCATTGTGGAAATGTCTGCTGGAAACTATGGGCCTGTAGGCCGAAGATGGATGCCCCAACGGTACAGAGGAACTTTGGGTGACTGTCCAGGCAGCGAGATGTCTCTGTCATTTCTAGAGCTTTGGATGTTAAGTTAAAGCCTTCTTTTTTTTTTTTTTTTTTTTAAACAGAAAAAGGGGAAGTGATGTGGGAGTGTCATATATCAATCTGTTGATTTCATTGGTTAAGTTATAATAAACCAACTGCTTGGCCTCAGCTTGGAACATAGATGGGAGGAGTAAACAGAATAGAATTCTGGGCGGAAGAGGAAGTGAGGTCAGACTCTGCTCTGCTCCCGGAGAGACCCGACAGCTCTGCTGGAGCAGAGACGCCATGCTCAGCTCTCCCAGGCAACTCCAACCCACGATGGACTTAGGCTAGAATCTTCCCGGTAAGCGCACCTTGGCGTGCTTACAAACATTATTAGAAATGGGCTAGTCCAGGGGCGAGAATTAGCCTGTAAGGGTTAGAGTTCATGGGCCAAGCAGTTCTTTAAATGAATACAGTTTGTGTGTTGTTATTTCGGGCGTGAGCTAGCCATGCGGGCGGCCGGGTGCTGGGGACGCAGCCCTGCCACCGCTCCTGTTTCAACAGTCTTTAACTACCCTGAAACTTCTACTTAGAAAGGTTAAGGCAATTCAGTTTTTAGGCCACTTTCCGGGGATTATTGCTGAAGTCTCATTTTTGTCATCAGAGAGAAAAATAGTTTCAAAAACTATCATTATAAGCCTTAACATTTGTCTGTAAGTCATCTGATGTCAGTTAAAGATCAGGGAAGGAAAAATGGGGGAGCAGTCTACGAACTTTCTCACAGTTGTGTGCAGAGGGTTGTGATTCTGGATCTCATCGAGATAAAAATTATTATTAATTAATTGTCATGCTTTTGACTATCACAGGTCCTTTATTTACAGTCTTAATTTTTAACATTAGCATCAAGTTATACATTAAACCTCACACATGGAATATAAGTACACCATGGCTAAAATGAGTTTGATTCTCTGTTGGGTTCATGGGGTCTCATTGAAGGTGAGAGACAGAACTAGTAGAAATGCACAGGATTGTTGTATTTAGCTAGATATTAACCTAATGAACAAGCCACAGAGATGATTTAAAAGACAGTGGAATTAGTCCCAGGCTTACTAAGACCAAATGAACAGCAGTTTGAGCGAGTTCAATCAAACAGGAGATTACACTGAGCTGAAATCCTGGAGATGGACATCATGGCCTGCACCTGAAAGTCTGACGACCTAATTGTCAATGGGCACCACAATGCTCAATCCAAGTGGTAGGTTGCATCATTCATTGGTATAGTGTGTTCTGTAAGTTTCCAGGCTTTGATACCATTTGATATTTTCACCTGTCGTGTGTTCCTGATTTATATTGATGCGCTTATATGTGGCAATGTTTATCTGTAAGAATAAGCTATTTATCAGTCTGTCTTCATGGCTCATGTTGAACAGATGGTAGTTGTTTACATGCATAAATGAGATATAGAGCAAAAAGTTGTTGTATAAAGGGAGTTATTTGTGCAAGGTATAGCCTGTAAGCCAATGTTCTGCATAATATAAAGTTAATGAGAACATAGCACAATCTGATCTCTACAGGTTAGACAAAGTGCTTCACCATTTTTCTGTCTAGGGCCTCTTTTACTCTGGTAAACAGATTTTACCCAGTTTCCTTCTCAAATGATGCTCTCCTGCTAGGCATAGGCTCTGTCACTGTGATTCTCACTGTTAAATCCCTCTGCAAGTGTTGGGACTTTAAGAAGAGTAATAATGAACTCCAACAGTTTGAGGAGGGGTGAGTTTTGGGGACAAATTAGTGAAAGCTTCAATATTTGCATTGTGCTTTAAAACAAAAGAAGTTAAAATATCTAAGTTGAATGGCTTTCCTAACTGGTAATAAAAAGTCAGTAAGAAAAAGAGACTTGAATCCACACAAGTTTCTTAAACTTCAGCCACCTCCCTCCACAAAGAACTTATCTTTCACTTTTCTTCTACCTCTTTTGGCCCCAGTTCTCTCTAGTTTTTCTGGTTTTCTTATCCTTACCTTCTGCATCTTCACTCTTCGTCCTGTTCCCCAGATCTACCTCAATTTTAGACTTTGAGCTTCTCTTGCTTCTTTCCAAGAAGTTCTTGATTGAAACTCAACACCTCAATCACAAATTACTCTCAAGGCTGGTATTGGGCTGAAATCCATGCCATGGCCAAATATCTTCCAAATCCTTAGAAAGGATAAATTTATTGAACTATTTGGAATGATTAGGAGGGGTAGGTTCTTGAGTTTCTTCATTTAAACTATTTATTACATTTTAAAGTAAGATCAGGTAGCCCCTGGACTTGGTTTGGAAAGACCAAATAGCTAATATAACAAGTATTCAGCTAATCCCCGTAGAAACAATACCTCTTTCAGTTAGTACTAAAGCTCCCAAATTGACAGGTCATTTTTGTTTGTTTTTGTTTTTATGATTTATTTTTATATGCTTATGAGTGTTTTGCATGCACATATGTATAGAGCTAGGCTGGAAAACTAAACTGAATGCTGGGAGAAAGAAGGTGGAGTCAGAGAGAAGCCATGTAGCCTCTGCCAGAGACAGACTTGCCAGAACCTTACCACTAAGCCACAGCCCTGTGACAATACATAAAATAATAGAAATGGGTTAATTTAAGATATAAGAGTGGTGGGGGACAATTCTGTATTCTGTCAATTATGTTTTAAATAAACACTGATTGGCCAGTAGCCAGGCAAGAAGTATAGGTGGTACAACCAGACAGGAAGTAGAAGTAGGGCAATGAGAATAGGAGTATTCTGGGAAGAAGGAAGCTCTTCCCCAAGTCCTGCCCAGACCACAGAAGAAGCAGGATGTGACCTGCCCCACTGAAAAAGGTACTGAGCCATGTGGCTAACATAGATAAGAATAATGGGTCAATATAAGTTATAAGAGCTAATACAAAGCCTGAGCTAATGGGCCAATCAGTTTATAACTTATGGAGACCTCTGTGCGATTTTCTTTGGGACTTGCTGGCTATGGGAACTGGGCAGGATAGAAACCCCCACAAGCAGGCCCTCATGTTACATAAGAGTGAGCTAGAAATATGCATAAGCTAATTGGCCAAGCAGTGATTAAAATAATATAGTATCTGAATGGTTATTTCTAGTCTGGGCAACCAGGAACAAACAAGCGACCTCTTACAACAGTTGTTCAGTCCATGAGGCTGAATGTCTCAGCTAGTGTTCAGTATACACTGGACTCTTAAAAAAATAGGCTCTAATGCCAGCTAAAGAATGAACTTTCTAGCAAGGGGAGGGCAAACAGGCAGAGAGTAAAAGCTTACTTCTTCCAAGTCCTTATATAGGCTTCCAGTAGAGGGCATGCCTCAGATTAAAGGTGGCTTTTTCCACCTGAAAGATATGGAGTAAAGGTCTGTCTTCTGATCTCAAGATCTGAATTAAAAGTGTGTGTTCCTGACTTCCTTGCTCATGTTCTCCCTCCTGCTCCTCATTTGGACCTTGGGAGCACAGTTCAGTGCTCCAATGTGGTTCTCTGTCTCTATCTCCATCCATCACAGAATGAAGGTTCTATGGTGATATGCAAGGTATTCACCAGTGTGCCTATAGGATAAGGCCAGTTCAGGCACCCTATCCTCTGCTGCTTATGAAACTAGTTGGGGAAATCCCCTTGGACACCTGGGAACACCTCTAGAACCAAGACTCTAGCCAACCCTAAAGTGGCTCCCTTGGTTAGGATAACTTCTTCCCTGCTCCCATATCCACCCTTCCTCCATCTCAATTATCCCATCCCCCCAAGCTCTCCCCAATCCTCCCATTCTCCCTTCACCCACCCACTGAGACAATGGGACTGATCTAATGGGAGCTCACCAAGGCCAGCTGGACTGGGACTGATGGAGCATGTGATCAAACTGGACTCTCTGAATGTGGCTGACAATGAGGGCTGACTGAGAAGCCAAGAACAATGGCACTGAGTTTTGATTCTACTGCATGGACTGGCCTTGTGGGAGCCTAGTCTGTTTGGATGCTCACCTTCCTAGACCTGGATGGAGGGAGGAGAACCTTGGACTTCCCACAGGGCAGGGAACCCTGACTGCTCTTAGGACTGGAGAGGGAAGGGGAGAGGAGTGGGGGGAGTGGGAGGGAAATGGGAGGAGGGGAGGAGGTGGACATTTTTAATAAATAAATAAATACATTTTTAAAACAAGAAAAACTGTAGTATACATAACATTAGCCATTTCAATAAAGAGAAATTTAGTAAGAAAAAGAAGTAATAAAGAAGGAAAAAAAAATAAAAAAGTGTGTGTTCCTACCTCAAAGATCTATATTAGAAGTATATCTTCCCACTTTAAGCAAAAATCCCTAACAGGTGTGCCCTCCACTTTAAGGTTGTAATTAATCTGAGATATAGTCAAGTTGACAACCAAGAGTAACCA